ATGCTCAGAAGATACTCAAATGGCCATTTCCCCGGGTACGGATCATTTCCCCTTCTCATCTCTACCTCACCTTGCTCCCGACTTACACTCAGTCTCACTTTAACTCTATATTGGGGAAAGTGAAGACGCAGTAGCAAAAATATGGGAACTTTTTTTAACACTTCTTCTAGAATTCCACCTCTCAACTCCCGAGCAACATTCCCCACCTAACATAGCTAGCAGAATAAAAACTGCCTCACCTCACATGTCAAGCAAGCAGATCAAAGAAGTCCACTATTTAACCCAGATGTTCATGGGAAAAATACACAAATCCTCTGTCTTAGTAATAATTAAAGCAGCTGCACCAGGAAACTATTTTTAGAATGGATTAAAAATTACTTATATCTATTGGTAAACTGCATAATCAGAGAAGGCTTCTCTTGAATTTTTTATTTTAACAACTGACCGAAAAAGAGAAGTCTGCAGGACGACGGCAATTCAGTTTGAAACAAAACAGGATTACAGAATCACCGTCCGCTGTTCTATGGAAGCATGACAGAGCAACCTTAATTTCCTCTTCCTGCTGCAAGTGCTTCAGAGGAAAAAATACCAGAAAAACAGGGAATAAGTACAGGTAGAATAAGAGCTTGTATGTTCTAGTACTAGCTAAAAGGACTTTTAAAGTTCATATGAGCGGTGGAGCTTTTTTTTTTTTAATTTTTTTTACTCAACTCATTTCACTTCCCCATCCCCAATTTTAAGACTACATTATTGAGCTGGAAAAGTCTGCCATCTCTAACTGTCTGCATATAGTCCGACTAGATAATTATTACCTTCATGCTATATTTCAGGTGTGCTTTCTAGAGCTAACTAGCAGCTTAAGTTTCTAAAGTTATTTATTGAAGAATTATGGCTTTTCATTTAATTCTTTTCCCTCTGCCACGGGCTTTCAGTCTACAGTAGAGGCACATGGCTGCCAATTTTCCAGTTGCAGCCTGTGAAACCCTCAATTTTAGGTTGCAAAAATCATTACTCTGTCTTGTAAGAAAAATATTGGCACAACAGCTAATAGCCAAAATAAACCTTTTATGGAGCAATCGCCAGAATCAGGCTGCCCGAGATGGACCATTGGCTCTGTTCCACTATTTGCATATTAAGCCCACTAGAGCAAAAAAATATTTTCAAGTGCCTTATCACTTAAAAGCCATAGATTTCTAAATTCCAGTAAAGAAACAGGTGACAAAGGTCAGCAACGGGAGACTCCGACGTGAAACTATGCCAGCGGCGGAGCAGACGGCCCCTCCCTGCTCTGTGAAGCTGGGCATGTGCCAGATTTCCTTCTTAAACGCATTGTCTCCACCAGGACTTCAGCAAGACTGCTGATACTTCAAGCCCCAAACCTGTGAACTCGGCTAGATTTAGCTACAACGGCTTAAAAAGTTATTAATTTTACCCCTGCAGCAGAGGCGGTGTAGGAGAATGGGATGGATACTTATCTGCGAACCGGGCACCTGAGACGTGCCTTGCGCAAACCTCATCTTTCCCTAACTTCCATCTTCCCAAACCGCCTTTTGTTTCGTTTTTCTTTCTTTTAAACGAGAAAGGTTTAGGGCTTGTCAGCAGGAGCAACCTCCCCGCGTTTGTTGCAACGTTACAAAAGGCACTAATTCTCCTGACTTGGGCATTTACATTCTGCTTTCTCAGAGTCGACCGACTTGTTTCAGCTTGACATAGTGTTTGTTTATACTCCACTCTGGAGCACAGCACTGAAGAGCTTTTTTTTTTTTTTTTAAATACAACAGATCCCAAACACCACTGCAACAATGTTCTTTACATCTAGATTATAATATTTATAAAGGGATGGGAATGTTTTTTTAAGTACCTGACATTATTGAGATAATTTCAAAGGCCAAATTAGCCAGCTGGGTAAAGTACTAGTGTGAAAGCGTATTTGGCAGGAGGTGAAGAAAGGACGAGCCTTATACACAGTCAGTATTCACCCTGGGGATGTCTTCAATGCAGATGTAGCTCGAGTGAGTGGAGTGGTTCCTCTGCCAGCCCCCGGTTGTCCACCCTGCTTCCAAAGCAGAAATGAATCATCTGCTGTGGTTCAGGAGGTGCTGCAGGAGCAAGCTAGAGACGGGTGTAGTAAGGAAAGCACAAAGCAGCACCAGTGTCTGAACAACTCGGCCGAGAATTGCATCAGAAAGCTGCTGCTTCATCACCCAGACACCTACCTCTGCAGGCGTTTTCAGAAAGGAGGCAGAGAAAGACAGCCTGGGTCAGGAACCATTTCAATCACCCCCAAGTAAACAGACCCAGCCTACAAAATCCAAGCCTTTGTGTGCAAGTACCTCCTCCTGAACCGCCAGCGCTCGAAGGATGGCTGCTAGCCCGCAAGAGAGTCCTCACATTGCTGCTTCTGCGTCAGCACCACATTTATTCACATGTATTCACATGTACGTGCCCCATCCCAGAGCACAGGGCGAAGATGCTACAAGCATTTGCAGCTGCACAGTGTAAGAACTAGATGTGTTTTGGGACATGGAGGGCGGGGGAGGTAAGCGATGACTAGTCTGTAGGTCCCAGCCTGTACCCGTGCAAAAAAGCAGGCACATTTGCACCTGGGACTGCATTCATTCACACTTTGTGAGTTAAAGGTGAGAGCCTCCTTGCTCAAATTAAGGCCTTTTACACGTGGATAGGATCTGAGCTAATGACAGCCTTCAATTTAGTACTCAAGTTAATTCTGAAGACAAGACAAACCAGCAGTACGTCCACATCTTCCTTAGGAAAAGAGGGAGAAGGTCACACTGAATGATGCTAGCAAATAAACCTTTCAGCCATCTTTGGCCTTCCCTTTGCTATTCCAGGTTAATCATTTGTGCTTGTACAAACAGGCAGCTAGATTCCAGGATACATTCGTTTTACTTTCTGACAGCAGATAAACACAGGCCAGCAGGCTGATGACGTAGAAAGGACTTTACTTAGTATTTACTTCTATGTACACCATCTTTAATCATAGAGATATGTAGCATAATCATTAAAAGCATCGCAGGTTGGTTTGTTTTAAGATATAAACAAGAAGCAAAGAACAATGAGGCTTTGGAGGAGGGAGGAATAAAGATCTTGACATAAAGTGAAATGAAAGTTACTGCATACCAAGGCTTCAAAGCTGGTTAAATCAGATGCATCCAAGCAATGGAAACATCTCTGCTAATGCTTCAAAGTCTGCCTAGCTTTTGACTCGTGAAGCTGGTAGCCCGTGTTGGAGGTACGACAGCAGGACAGCCCGCCGCGCGCGCTACCGTACAGGCTGGTTTCCACAGCAAGAATTCGGCCATTCTGAAAAACGGTTTTCAGAAGGCTGCATGGCAAAAAGAACGTGCTCCCAGTGTAAAAAAGCTCAAAAAAAAAGAAAAAAAAAAAAGCAAACATCAGCTATTTACCACATGCTGCTCTTAACACCCTGAAGCGCCGTGGTCCACAATTAAAATCTTTGCTGAATCTGTTATGTGAAATCATGTCTCGTCCAAACGGTTCGGCATATTTTGTGGAAAATACTCGGAATACCACAAGCCACCCCTTCTGAACCTCCTTTACAAATGACTCTGCTCACTGTTCCTATTCTCTGCACATAACTTTAAATGAGACTTCATTGCAGATAAACGTCTGTTTTTATTTCTACTACTAGGCAACCCGTGAAGGTTTTAAGTGTTCTGTTTTTTTTAAGGGTGACAATTATTTATGCTTGGTAGGGTAAAAGAAAAAGAGTTTAATGGGGAAGATGGCTAAAGGCACCAAGTGTGTAAAAATGCAGTTTCTTTACAGCTAGGCACATCACTGAACTGAAATATACCATTTTATTCACAAATTGGAGTTTAAATTGTCACCACAAAGGCCAAGGTTTCTATTCTAGTCTTTTTTTTTGTTTTGTTTGCTTACGGAATACTTTTGGTCTTTCTCTCCATCTGCTTGAGACTGAAATGCATAAATCCACAGAGTGCTTTGGCTTCTCAGTAACCGAATCTGAATCGCTGCAGCGCCTAGCACGTAGAAACAGATAAACAAAACTGAAGTCTTCCGTTACATTTGCCAAATGAACCAATTAGCTGTACAGAACTAATTTTATACAGCTGCATACACTGAGTGGCCTTCCCGAACGATCTTAGCATTGTAGTGCCGAGATTTGCAATCTGACATGTAAACCAAAAAACTCCCGAGACCCCTCAGGACTTCAGGATCAGCATGTGTCATACCCTGACATTCAGACTCTGCCTGAACTCATGCTAAAACAGACCTTGACTACCAGATTAAAGCGATGCTTCATTAAAAAAACCCTCAGTTCTCAAAGAGTTGCTAGATTTGATACATGAAGCCTTTTTGTGGCCCTTTTGTGTAGGCTGCAGTAAAAATCAAAGCCTCTTTTCAAGGCATGCTTTCCTCGTAGGCTGGAACTTGGCTTCGTGTAGCCAGTTGCAAACACTAGACAACTTTGAAGAGATCTTCAAAAAACCACACACCCAGAAAAAGCCATTTTTATTAGTCCATTAACATGTCATTAAAGTATCTACTTAGCCAGGAATCAAAATTCCGTCCTACCTAAGCAGAAACCCGTCATGAACGAAGAGTCAGTCCTCATAGTGCAAACAATACCAAGTTGACAAAACAGAAGAGTTTCATCTCCAGATTCCTAAGAATTACTCAAACTGAAAAATCCTCCTGGGCACTGACCAACAGTAAGTCTTCATATACACATATACACACCAGCAAAGGATGATTTAGTAACATAAATCATTAAAAAAAAAAAAACACCAGCACAGGACTATTGAAAGAACAAGACTCATTACATTTCCAGTTAACTGAGACTGCGTGCAACACAAGACCAGTAAAGCAAGTTTGAGAATGAACTGAGATGTAAAGCTTGGAGAAACACTACAAGTTATGAAATTATTTGAAGAACTTTGTTGGGATAAAAAAAGGGAGATCAATAGGAAGCTGAATGGATGCTGATGTACAGAATCAGAGGAAGGCACACAAATCGGAGAGGTGGAAATAAGCATATCCAGTTATCCCTCACACTAACTCTTCTTTCTCTTCTTCCCCCTCTGCTCACTCATAACAAA